CAACTAAAAAAACAGTAAGAGGAGTTCAAAAGTCGGACGGGACCGACTATATGACACCCTTCACCACTATGGGTACATGCAAGACATGTTAATATCTACAATATCCTGTAGATATAGATATTTCGCATACATCAGTCGGGACTTAATTCAGTACTCTGACCAATATTAGGAGTTTGGTGCACAATTTACTTTAAATCGGACGAAACTATATATCTAAATCTGAACCGATTTCAACAAAACTTCGCATTCATTAATCATGACCTAGTTTAGTACGCTGTGCAAAATTTTGTCTCAATCGGATAAATATTGGCAGTAAGTTGCTCCATTTACATAAAATCGGACGAAACTATATATAGCATGTTTAGATATAAATCTGAACCGATTCCAACAAAATTTCTCATACATCAGTCGAGACCTAATTCAGTACTCTGTGCAAAATGTTGCTTAAGTCGGGAGTTTGGTGCACTAATTACATTAAATTGGACGAAACTATACATCGGAGCTATATCTAAATCTGAACCGATTTCAACAAACCTTGGCATATAACTATCTAGACCTAATTCAATACTCAGTGCAAAATGTTGTCTCAATCGGAGCACAATTGGGAGTTTGATGCATCAATAAGCTAAAGTGGGACGAAAATATATATGGGAGCTATATCTAAGTATGAACCGATTTTCTCCTATAGGGTTCGTCCTTGGGCCAACTAAGTGACCCAACCTTCATCCAAATCGGATCATAAATGGACAGACGGACATGCATAAATCGACTCAGAAAGTGATTCTATGCATATTCTCAAAAGGAACCATGGGTCTATCTCGATTATTTTTACCTGTTAACAAACATATGCACAACGACACAATACCCTGTACCACAGTGTGGTGAAGGGTATAAAAGGGGGTTATAAGGGGACTACCCCTAAAAGGTGGCGAATATTAATAATTTTTGGGAGTGAGGTTTGTTACATATACGACTACAAAAAAACAAATTACAAAGAATTTGGTTGAAAAACGCGTTCAAGAACCCCAAAATACCGAAAATTGGGGGGTACCCTTATATGGGGGCTACCCCAAAAAATGGACCTATTTTTATAATTTTTTGTAGGGAGATTTGCTACCCAATAAGAACTCAAAGTACCAAATTTTAGCGAATTCGGTCGAAAAATTCGATCCAAACACCCAAAATACCGCAAATTTTGAGGTACCCTTATATGGGAGCTCTCCGAAAATATGAACCCATATTTATAATTTTTAGTGCAGAGATTTGCTACCCAATAATAACTCAAAGTACAAAATTTCAGCGAATTCAGTTAAAAAACGCGCTAATGACCCTCAAAATACCGAAAATTGGGGGGTACACTTACATGGGAGGGTTCGTAGGGTTCGTACTTGGTCTAATTAAGTGACCTGTGCTAAATTTCATCCAGATCGAATGATAAATGCGACCTGAACTTTGTTAACAAAAATACACGGACGGACGGACAGACAGACGGACATGCATAAATCGACTCAGAAAGTGATTCTATGCATATTCTCAAAAGGAACCATGGGTCTATCTCGATTATTTTTGCCTGTTACAAACATATGCACAAAGACATAATACCCTGTATCACAGTTCGGTGAAGGGTATAATGAACACATATCGTCTTGGGTCATTTCGTGTAAATTTGTCGGATGATCTGAATTTTCTTTTACAAAGTGTGTCAGTTGTTAGTACATTCTGCACAGCGTACGTAATTGACTCTTAAATATTGTGTGATGTTTTGTTAACATCGGTTTGCAATATCAGTTGCTTTAGTTTTGGCCGCCAGTATAGCTCGCAGATAAATGGTGCACGAAAGACCTTGCATTTAATCGATGCCCATCGTACTGAATCGACTATAGAATGATATGTGTTTAGTTTTCTTGAAATCTTTTCAGAATTAGATATATCTCCCCAGAATTGGTTTATATTTAGATATATCTCCCATATATATTTTCGTATTACCCCTTTCAGTGTTTTTGTCGAATATATTCGACATTTAAAAATTCTCTCTTTCTTTGGGATTTTTCGGTTATCCTATGTACCTTTAACATTGATGTTTTTGTTTTTGCTGAAAAACAGACGAAACTGTCCGAGGGTTAAAATGAAAATTGTTTTTTTTTTCTAAACTCTATGCCTAGTACAACATTTTAGATTTTTATTCCGACAAATTTTTTTTTTTTGAGACTGAAAGGGTTAATCGATATAGAAAAGATCCATATTTACATATAGTTTTATATATTTTGGATTTCATACAAATGTCACATCAAAAACCCCAATTCTGCAATATATTTTTGTATAGATTTCAGATGCTATGTCTGTTATATTGATAGGATATTGTACATAGAAGCATTTCTTAAATGCACTCAAAGTTGCGAAGGGTATCATATAGACGGCCCGCTAGATTTTTGAACTTTCCTTACTGGTTTATGGTAAATTTTCCTAAAATTTTGCACCATAGGGCTGTGATATTTGTTTGCATTAAAAATTCAAACAAGTGAGATTTATTAGCAAAAAATAGCAAACAAAAAATACAGTCAAGTCTGTTATAACACGTTTCCAAATTGCTAAAAATTAGAATCACTATATATATATATGTTTTAGGAACCAGAGTGATTACAACAGACAGCGAACATTTCTATGTCGAATTGGAATTTGACGCTGATCAAGAATCAAGAATAAGGTCGGAAATAAATATTTCACCGATTTACATAGAAAACCAGTAAGGAAAGTAGTAAAGTCGGACGGGGCCGACTATATGATACCCTTCACCACTATGGATATATTAAACAGGACTATTAACATGAAATTGGATGAAATAAAATATGTGATATTTATCTAAATGTGAATCTACCTATATATCCATAAGTTATATAAATCGACTTCAATCAAATATAAATAGGTTATCTGTTGGGCTATGTCTGTACTTCTAGAAAACGCAACTACATAATTCTATGCTTTTGTACGTTGTGCAAAATTTGATGTCAACCTGACTAGCATGAAGAGTTTGATGTCCAATTTACTTAAAATCGGGCGAAAATATATATGGAAGCTCTATCCAAATATATCGAAGGATATATAGGGACTTTGGTGCACCATTTACATGAAATCGGACGAAACTATATCTGAATCTGGGCCGATTTTCTCGAAACTGGGCAGACATCATTCTAGGCTCAATTCAGTACGTTATGCCAAATTTCCTGCAAATCGAAAGATATATAGGGACTTTGGGGCACCATTAACATGAAATCGGACGAAACTATATATGGGAGCTATATCTAAATCTGGACCGATTTTCGCGAAACTGGGCAGACATCATTCTAGCCTCAATTCAGTACGTTATGCCAAATTTCATGCAAATCGAAAGATATATAAGGACTTTGGTACACCATTTACCTTAAATCGGAGGAAGATATATACGGGAGCTATATCTAAATCTGAACCGATTTTCACGAAACTTTGCACACATCATTCTAGACTTAATTCAGTGCGCTATGCCAAATTTCGTGCAAATCGAAAGATATATTCGTGCAAATCGAAAGATTTTCAGGGTCTAAAGTCCGTAAATCGGGCGAAACTATATATGGGAGCTATATATAAATCTGAACCGATTTTCACGAAACTTGGCACACATCTTTCGTGACTCAATTCAGTACGCTATGCCAAATTTCGTGCAAATCGAAAGATTTTCAGGGTCTAAAGTCCGTAAATCGGGCAAAAATATATATGGGAGCTATATCTAAATCTGAACCGATTTTTCCCAATTTCAATAGGGTTCGTCCTTGGGCCAAACAAATGAGCTGTGCCAAATTTCATCCAAATCGGATCATAAATGCGACCTGTACTTTGTTTACAATTTAACATAGACAGACGGACGGACGGACATGCATAAATCGATTCAGAAAGTGATTCTATGCATATTCTCAAAAGGAACCATGGGTCTATCTCGATTATTTTTGCCTGTTACAAACATATGCACAAAGACATAATACCCTGTACCACAGTGTGGTGAAGGGTATAAATACAGTCAAGTCTGTTATAACACGTTTCCAAATTGCTAAAAATTAGAATCACTATATATATATATATATATTCGTTTTAGGAACCAGAGTGATTACAACAGACAGCGAATATTTCTATGTCGAATTGGAATTTGACGCTGATCAAGAATCAAGAATAAGGTCGGAAATAAATATTTCACCGATTTACATAGAAAAAAACGAAATGGGGAGGGTATATAAATATTAATGAAGAATATTATTCTAGGACTCATAATTAATAGATAGGATGAAAACGAAAAGACGATTGTAGAGAACAGGAAAAATTTAAATATTTGAAGTAATTTTTAAGCGAACAATAATAAATATATATTCTACAAACGGGCCGACCATATGATTCTGCAAAGCTAAATTTCGCCATATTTACAAGCCTTATGTGATAATGGAATTAAGCAATATTGTGATCTGTAGACTCTTTGTATATATTTCAGTATATATCCTAGATCCGTCCTCTTATATCAATAGAATTGATATGATATAAATACTGACAGATACTTCTTAATACACTGGAAACTTTATTGGATCACCTAAAAGTTTTGATTTATTTGGACGGTATTGACGTATAAATTGTGCTATTTATAACGTATGTTGCATATCTAAGATGTCTTCAACTCCACACGGTCGAAGTTGGTAATATTCGCAATCTATTGCGACTGTCATTATCACTTTTATAATTATCTTATCTCTTTAATTTAAATTCCTTTAGTTTGTGATATAAATCGATTGTGTATATTTCTTATTTTAAAATTGCCTTAAACTAAAAACTAACTCTAAATATATATGAAAATATAATACTGTATATAATTTTTTTTATATATTTCAATATTTTGAATAATTACGAAACAATTATTATGCGCAATTGTTCTATAGTCTATAAGAAGCTATAGATTTTTATTATTATTATTATTTTTGGAAAATAATTTAGAAATGAATTCCATTCAACATGGTCGTTACACGTTTCCAAAAGGTGTTTTCAATTTTCGTGTCTGATTTCTCGATTGTTTCTGGATGATCCGTCGTGGAATTGATTTCGGGTAGTACAGTCGTAGTAATGTTCTCCGGATGTAATGTTGTGGTCGTATTAATTGCAGGAGTCAGTGTTGTATTGGTCTCAGGAGGCAAGATGGTGGTATTTACAGGAGGAATCCATGTAGTATTACTACCGGGTGGCAATGTGGTATTTACAGGAGGAACCCATGTCGTATTACTCTCTGGAGGCAATGTTGTGGTGTTTACTGGAGGAACCCAGGTAGTATTGCTCTCTGGAGGCAAGGTTGTGGTATTTACTGGAGGAACCCATGTTGTATTGCTCTCGGGAGGCAAGGTGGTGGTATTTACTGGAGGAACCCATGTCGTATTGCTCTCAGGAGGCAAGATTGTGGTATTTACTGGAGGAACCCATGTCGTATTGCTCTCTGGAGGCAAGGTGGTGGTGTTTACTGGAGGAACCCAGGTTGTATTACTCTCAGGTTGTAAAGTCGTAGTATTTACTGGAGGAACCCATGTCGTATTGCTCTCGGGAGGCAAGGTGGTGGTGTTTACTGGAGGAACCCATGTCGTATTGCTCTCGGGAGGCAAGGTGGTAGTATTTACTGGAGGAATCCATGTCGTATTGCTCTCTGGGGGCAAAGTGGTGGTATTTACTGGAGGAACCCATGTCGTATTGCTCTCTGGAGGTAAAGTCGTAGTATTTACTGGAGGAACCCAAGTTGTATTGCTCTCGGGAGGCAAGGTGGTAGTATTTACTGGAGGAACCCATGTGGTATTGCTCTCGGGAGGCAAAGTGGTGGAATTTACTGGAGGAACCCATGTCGTATTACTCTCTGGAGGCAAGGTTGTGGTGTTTACTGGAGGAACCCAAGTCGTATTGCTCTCTGGAGGCAAGGTTGTGGTATTTACTGGAGGAACCCATGTTGTATTGCTCTCGGGAGGTAAAGTCGTAGTATTTACTGGAGGAACCCAAGTTGTATTGCTCTCGGGAGGCAAGGTTGTGGTGTTTACTGGAGGAATCCATGTTGTATTGCTCTCTGGAGGCAAGGTTGTGGTATTTACTGGAGGAATCCATGTTGTATTGCTCTCGGGAGGTAAGGTTGTTGTATTTACTGGAGGAACCCATGTTGTATTGCTCTCGGGAGGTAAAGTCGTAGTATTTACTGGAGGAACCCATGTCGTATTACTCTCAGGAGGCAAGGTTGTGGTGTTTACCGGAGGAACCCATGTCGTGTTGCTCTCGGGAGGTAAAGTCGTAGTATTTACTGGAGGAACCCATGTCGTATTGCTCTCTGGAGGCAAGGTTGTGGTATTTACTGGAGGAACCCATGTCGTATTGCTCTCGGGAGGTAAGGTTGTTGTATTTACTGGAGGAACCCATGTTGTATTGCTCTCGGGAGGCAAGGTTGTTGTGTTTACTGGAGGAACCCATGTTGTGTTGCTCTCAGGAGGCAAGGTTGTGGTATTTACTGGAGGAACCCATGTCGTATTGCTCTCTGGAGGTAAAGTCGTAGTATTTACTGGAGGAACCCATGTTGTATTGCTCTCGGGAGGCAAGGTTGTTGTGTTTACTGGAGGAACCCATGTGGTATTGCTCTCTGGAGGCAAGGTTGTGGTATTTACTGGAGGAACCCAAGTTGTATTGCTCTCTGGAGGCAAGGTGGTGGTATTTACTGGAGGAACCCATGTAGTATTGCTCTCGGGAGGTAAAGTGGTTGTATTTACTGGAGGAACCCATGTTGTGTTGCTCTCGGGGGGTAATGTCGTTGGATTTACTGGAGGAACCCATGTGGTATTGCTCTCGGGAGGTAAAGTCGTAGTATTTACTGGAGGAACCCAAGTTGTATTGCTCTCTGGAGGTAAAGTCGTAGTATTCACTGGAGGAACCCATGTTGTATTACTCTCAGGAGGCAAGGTTGTGCTGTTTACTGGAGGAACCCAAGTTGTATTGCTCTCAGGAGGCAAGGTTGTTGTATTTACTGGAGGAATCCATGTCGTATTGCTCTCTGGAGGCAAGGTTGTGGTATTTACTGGAGGAACCCATGTCGTATTGTATTTACTGGAGGAACCCATGTGGTATTGCTCTCGGGAGGTAATGTGGTAGTATTTACTGGAGGAACCCATGTGGTATTGCTCTCAGGTGGTAAAGTCGTAGTAATTAGTGGAGGAACCCATGTTGTATTGCTCTCAGGAGGCAAGGTTGTTGTGTTTACTGGAGGAACCCATGTCGTATTGCTCTCGGGAGGTAAAGTCGTAGTATTTACTGGAGGAACCCATGTCGTATTGCTCTCGGGAGGTAAAGTTGTAGTATTTACTGGAGGAACCCAAGTTGTATTGCTCTCAGGAGGCAAGGTTGTTGTATTTACTGGAGGGATCCATGTCGTATTGCTCTCTGGAGGCAAGGTTGTGGTATTTACTGGAGGAACCCATGTCGTGTTGCTCTCGGGAGGTAAGGTCGTGGTGTTTACTGGAGGAACCCAAGTTGTATTGCTCTCTGGAGGCAAGGTTGTGGTATTTACTGGAGGAACCCATGTCGTATTGCTCTCTGGAGGCAAGGTGGTGGTATTTACTGGAGGGACCCAAGTTGTATTGCTCTCAGGAGGCAAGGTTGTGGTGTTTACTGGAGGAACCCATGTCGTATTGCTCTCTGGAGGCAAGGTTGTGGTGTTTACTGGAGGAACCCATGTTGTATTGCTCTCGGGTGGCAAGGTGGTGGTATTTACTGGAGGTACCCATGTTGTGTTGCTCTCGGGTGGCAAGGTGGTGGTATTTACTGGAGGTACCCATGTTGTGTTGCTCTCGGGAGGTAAAGTCGTAGTATTTACTGGGGGAACCCATGTTGTATTTCTAGGCAAGGTTGTGGTGGAGGAACCCAAGTTGTATTGCTCTCTGGAGGCAAGGTTGTGGTGTTTACTGGAGGAACCCATGTCGTATTGCTCTCGGGAGGTAATGTCGTAGTATTTACTGGAGGAACCCATGTTGTATTGCTCTCTGGAGGCAAGGTTGTGGTGTTTACTGGAGGAACCCAGGTTGTATTACTCTCTGGAGGTAATGTCGTAGTGTTTACTGGAGGAACCCATGTTGTATTACTCTCTGGAGGCAATGTTGTTGTGTTTACTGGAGGAACATAGGTTGTATTGCTCTCAGGAGGTAACGTCGTAGTATTTACTTGAGGAACCCATGTTGTATTGCTCTCAGGAGGCAAGGTCGTTATATTTACCGACGGAACCCCTGTTGTATTTACTGGAGGACTCCATGTTGTATTGCTTTCTACCTCCGTAGCGTGAACGCCAACAAACTTCTTCGCTGCTTCATGTAAAAATGTAGGTGTTCTCCATGCCTCTGTTAGGCCGAAAAATAGTAGACAAGCTACTAAAATTCCTACAACTTTCATTGCTCTTTTCTTTTTCTTATTTTAGACGATCGTTTTTCATTACCCGCAACTTTCAAAATCGGATGTTGGTTAACGACTAATTTTCCAATCATCGAGTCAAGACATTTTTTAACTTTTCGCTTCGAATTTTTGGAAGTTATTTGCAATCTTATCTCTAGTCTTTCTTATTGGTGTTAACGTTTGTTACTGTGCACAAGCAGCTACACTTTTTTCTAATTCCACTCTTTTCGAAGAAAAGACTTTTGCAATCTAATGGTATTGTCATGTTGTTGCTGTTGCTGGTGGGGGTTTAATATCTCTTATCACAAAATATTACTTGATTTTGTTTTTTCATTACCAAACAAACAAAACAACAAATCGATATCTTTTCTAAGTAATTATATTTGAGCTCCTGAATTTTATTGGCATTTGAAAACATCATTCAGTCTCTTTCGCTCTTATCACCTTCCACTAAATCAGTCCAAATAAACATTTTTTTTGGTAATAAATCGTTTTCCAAGAATTATTCAAAAAGAAATTTTCTAGTTAAATATGTTTGTTAAAACATTCATTTCCCTTGTGATCATCAGTTTGGAAAAAAAATTAAAGCATACCCTTGGGCGTTATGCTTTTCTTTATTGCACAGGACTGGTTTCTTTTATCGATAGAGCACTGTTGATATTTTTGCTTATATCTGATAAGCTATTATCTAAAAATATCATTTTAAAATTGGTATATTCTCGAAGAAAAAATATGTATCTGTTTTGTTGTTGTTTTATTAATCACTTTTTTGTTTGTCATCATTTACATTTCAAGATAAATAGAGATACGTAGTTCAAATCTTCAATATGGAATACGAATATTATCTGTATTAATTTCCTTGCAAAGTTGGAAATACAAATCGATAATATCATATCAACATTTCATTCTCATTAAACATGAATGAAAGCCATAGCTGGGTAGCTGATAACTTTTGCTTCCAGCTTGAGTAGACATCGTGACATACTTAGTGACCTTGGGGGGGGGGGGGTTTCTGCCAATAGAAAATCACAAACATACTGGATTCAATTTCAATGAAATTTTTTGAATAGTTTACAAAGCAATGACATATGTTGGATACCTCATAATATACCGAACAATGCCGAGCTTTATTATGGACCCGTCTTTTCCTAAAACGATCATATAAATTTATGGCTCCCTCAATCAAACTGACTTGGTGTTCGATATCTATACTCTACCAATTGAAACATTGGTTATATGCCCAGTTTTTAGTATAGTTTATTATAGGAACCCACATTGTATAGAGGTCATAGTTATTAGACATCTAATATTGATTGGGGGAACCCATGGCATCTAGCTTTCAGTACTCAATATAGGTGTATTCAGGGCAAAGTGTAGTTATTGGATGAATCAAAGTCATATTACTCATTGGAGACATGGAAATGGGATGAAAATGGGATGATTCCTCTCAAAAAGCAATGTTGTGTAATTTGAGGAGGAAGCCAAGTTGTAGTCAATGTAGTCGTAATTGGTGAATAACACCATGTAGTATTGCCTTCTGGAGGTAATGTGGTGGTAATATGTGTGGCGCACATATTTACTATTTTCTTCTAGAAAAAAGATGCCTGTATGAGGACTTAGTTGGCACCTTAATTGCTCGAGATATTCTTTGAGGAACCCATAAAATATATTCTTGATCAGAATAAAATTCTATGGCGAATCTATGTGGCATTCAGCGTTCCTCCTGGGGGGGAAATTATTTGCGGAAATGTTTTTATATAGGTCAATGTTTTCACGTCTCGCCTTCATATAAAAATCCAACCGATTGCATGTATTTCGATGTTGCTATCCTCATTTGTGCTGTGTTTCGATGAAATCGTTGCAGACTTGGATATAGCTTCCATATAAATTATCGGTGATTTTATGTAACTGCTGTTCCAAACTCCCGAATGGTTATACAGCGTTCCAAATTAAGTCTAGAAGGACATACAGTGAGTCACAGTCAAAAATATCCACTTGATTTTTTCATTATAAAAGCACGTGTTAATTAATGAATACAACTTTATTCTTTTTTATAGGTGAGCATGAACATCCTAACCTTAAATTAATGAGTTAAAATGGTTGAACTGTCCGAATGAATGAACTACATAGGAACTGACTAAACTATATTGCGGCTGATTTGTGTATAGTGAGACTGTCTGATTTATAGAGAGGCTTCTTTATAATGCAGTGAGGCTCTGTGAACTAATGTGTGGTGTTCGGTGAGGCTGTCTTATATATATTGAGACTGAATGAGCCTATTGTGAGGCTTCCTGAATCTATAATAAAATTATCTCAATTATATTGCAGGTCTAGACTGCATTGAAGCTACATATAGTCAGACTGGTTGAAATTAAGTGATGCTATCTAAATTATAACGACACTGGCTGAGCTATAGTGGAAATGTACCGACATTGATGCTAGCTGAAACTCTAGTTAAACCGAAACTTAATGAACCTATTGTGAAGCAGACTGTATCGATAGTACAAATATCTGAATTATAATGCAGGTCTATAACAAGGCTGATTCTCTTTATTAAGCCTTATTTGACTGTAGTTAACATTTAATGCGTTTCTCTTAGCCATTGTGGCGTTGGCAGAAAAACATTGGGTATTTAGGACATTGCATGAAATCGGACGGAAATATATAGGAGTTACATCTTAGGATATTTGTTGGACCATTTATACGAAATCGGACGATATTTTGTGCGGAAATTATATCTATATCCGAATAGATATCAGCAAAACCCACATTAATATGCCATGCAAAATTTCGTCTCTTTTGGACAAACCCTGGGGTTTACACGCCTGCCACGTTTACATAAAATCGGACGAATGACAGGTATATGTATATATGTATATGTATATAAAGCTTCAGGTATAGGCTCTCAACATTTTTTTCCTATACAACTATGTTGTGAGGTCATTATAGCATTGTGTGGCCCCAAGTGTTTGTAACGCCGCGAAATATCGGTCCTAGATCAACCATTTAGCTTAGCGATATCGACTAACTAAGCCGATCTAGTCATGTGTGTCCTTCTAGCCATCTGTCCATTGTAATTTCTAAACTACACACAGGCCAATGGCCAATGAACCCCCTACTGTTTTTGGTAATGATCGGTAAGTATTTAGGGGATGAAATTAATCAAAAACGTTATAAATGTTTTTATTCCCTTCACCACACTGTGGCCTTTGTGCATATGTTTGTAACAGGCAAAAGGAAACGAGATAGACACATGGTTTCTTTTGAGAATATACATAGAATCACTCTCTGAGTCGATTTATGCATGTCCGTGCATCTTTCTGTCCATGTCTAAGGACGAATCCTATAAAAAAATTGGGAAAAATCAAAGATCAAAGAAAAGTCCTTATTTTTGATGGCGGGCATGATAACTCCTCACTGGAACATCGGTGAGCCTATTTTTTACCACAAACTAAGTTAAACAAGTGAAAAAGCGTTAAGTTCGGCCGGGCCGAACTTTGGATACCCTCCACCATAGATAAATTGGCAGGTACTTGAAATGAAGATATAGGGAAAACCTCAAAAATAGGACCTATACCGACATTTTTACAAACCGATTAAGTAAACAATAATACAAATTTCATAAATTTTTGGTGGATTATTATACCCTCAGTGTTATGGCTAATGAAGATGTATACAATTTAACACGGTGAAAATGTGCCTCATCGAAATATTGGTTCTAGACCCCATGTTTCTTTGGACCAAATTTGTTTAAGAACATTTTAATTTCATCCAAACTTTGCCCATCTTATTATTTCTTCCAAACTTAGTTCAAATTGGAAGATGGGGAATATCGGTCCACTCCTTCTGGAACCTCCACACAGTGGCTAGGTCTAAATGCGGCTATAGTTCATTATCGAATTTGTTATCTCTCTATCCTCCGCAGGTGAAATTATTACAACAGAATCTTAGAACCAAACTCAAAAGGCGGAACAAATCAGATAACTATTTTAATATAAACAAGTGAAAAAGCGGTAAGTTCGGCCGGGCCGAACTTTGGATACCCTCCACCATAGATATATTGACAGGTATTAGAAATGAAAATATAGGGAACATACCAAAAAGTGGACCTATACCGACATTTCTAAAAACGGATTATGTAAACCATAATTAAAAATTTTAGAAAATTTTAAAGGATAATTATACTCTCAGCCTTATGGCTAATGAGGGTGTATAGACTTTAACACGGTGAAAATGTGTCTCATCGAAATATTGGTTCTAGACCCCATGTTTCTTTGGACCAAATCCGTTTCAGAAAATTTAGATTTCATCCAAACTTTGCCCATATTATTATTTCTTCCAAGCTTAGTTCAAATTCTCGAACTTCCAATCAGGGGCTAGGTCTAAATGCGGCTATAGTTAATTATCGAACCTTACGTTCTAATTGTTTATCTCTCTATCCTCCGCAGGTGAAATGATTACAAAAGAGACTTAGAACCAAACTCAAAACGCGGAACAAATCAGATAACTATTTTAATATAAAAAAAGGGGGTTATATGGGGACTACCCCAAAAAGGGGGTGAATATTAAAAATTTTTGCTAGAGAGATTTGTTACCATATACGACTACAAATTACCAAATTGCAGCAAATTCGGTTGAAAAATGCGCTCAAGAACCCCCAAATACCGAAAATTGGGGGTACCCTTATATGGGGGCTATCCGAAAAAATGGACCAATATTCATAATTTTTGGTGGAGAGATTTGGAACCTATTAGGAACCCAATGTACCAAATTTCAGCGTATTCGGTTGAAAAACGCGCTCAAGAAACCCAAAATTCCGAAAATTGGGGGGTACCCTTATATGGGGGGTATCCGAAAAAATTCACATATGTTTATAATTTTTTGTGGAGAGATTTGGTACATATTAAGAACTCGAAATACTAAATTATAGCCAATTCGGTGGAAAAATACAATCAAAACCCCCAAAATACTGAAAATTAGGAGGTACCGTTATATGGGGGCTACCAGAAAAAGTGGACCTATATTTATAATTTTTTGTGGGGACATTAAGTACCCAATAAGAACCCAATGTACCAAATTTCAGCGTATTCGGTTGAAAAACGCGCCCAAGAACCTCAAAATACCGAAAATTGGGGGGTACTGTTATATGGGAGCTATGTCTAAACGTGGACCGATATATCCTATCTTCGAACTTGACCTTCCTGCAGACAAAAGACAACCCTATGCAAAATTTCAGCATCCTATCTCAATTCCTTCAGAAGATAGCGTGATTACAACAGACGGACGGACAGACGGACGGACGGACGGACATGGCTAGATCGTCTTAGAATTTTACCCTGATCAAGAATATATATACTTTATAGGGTCGGAAATGAATATTTCGATGAGTTACAAACGGAATGACAAAATTAATATACCCTCCATACTATGGTGGAGGGTATAAAAAGGGGGTTATATGGGGACTACCCCAAAAAGGGGGTGAATATTAAAAATTTTTGCTAGAGAGATTTGTTACCATATACGACTACAAATTACCAAATTGCAGCAAATTCGGTTGAAAAATGCGCTCAAGAACCCCCAAATACCGAAAATTGGGGGTACCCTTATATGGGGGCTATCCGAAAAAATGGACCAATATTCATAATTTTTGGTGGAGAGATTTGGAACCTATTAGGAACCCAATGTATCAAATTTCAGCGTATTCGGTTGAAAAACGCGCTCAAGAACCCCAAAATACCGAAAATTGGGGGTACCCTTATATGGGGGCTATCCGAAAAAATGGACCAATATTCATAATTTTTTGTGGAGAGATTTGGTACCTATTAAGAACTCAAAATACTAAATTACAGCTATTTCGGCAGAAAAACACAATCAAAACCCCCAAAATACTGAAAATTAGGAGGTACCGTTATATGGGGGTACCTCCTAATCCTATGGGGGTACCTCCTAATCCTATACCTCCTAATACTATACTTATAATTTTTTGTGGAGACATTTAGTACCCAATAAGAACTCAATGTAGCGAATTCGGTAGAAAAACGCGCTCAAGAACCCCAAAATACCAAAAATTGGGGGGTACCCTTATATGGGAGCTATGCCTAAACGTGGACCTATGAAGCCCATCTTCGAACTTGACCTGCCTGCAGACAAAAGACGACTCTATGCAAAATTTTGTCGACCTATCCCAATTCGTTTAGACGCTAAAGTGATTACAACAGACAGACGGACAGACAGACAGACAGACGGACATGCTTAGATCGTCATAGAATTTTACGCTGATCAAGAATATATATACTTTATAGGGTCGGAAATGATTATTTCGATGCGTTACAAACGGAAAAACAAAACTAATATACCCTCCATACTATGGTGGAGGGTATAAAAATAAGGAAGTTCTTCACCGATTGGCTTTATCCTAGTTCATACGAGAGCTATACACTCCCAGAGAAACGTGTCAAAATTTGGAACCGATTGGATTATTAGTTTTTGAGTTATCGTGCCCGCCATTCGCGTTTAAAGTTTGAGAAGCCCTTTAGCCGTCACTTGATGCTGACACAATAAATCGGCTATATCTTCAAGGGTTCTTGAGATTTTCACTTGAAATTTTGTAGGGACATTCTTAAATTAGTGTAGATTTGAATTAAATAAAGAAATGGGGGTTCCCTTAATTTCATATCATATGTAGAATATACCCATAGTGGTGAAGGCTAGCCCATTCCGACTTTACTACTTTCCTTACTGTTTTTTCTGGGTCAGAATTATGACCCGAACACCACAAATTTTACACGGAGAAAGAGATTAGACCAAGGAACGAGTATGAATCTTGTCAGATAATCGACTAATGTTTGGCAGATCAATGGACCCAGACTATTGTGTGAAATACTGCAAAATTTGTATTCTTTGGCGTATTTGTTTATTCCTGTAGACCATAGACCAAAGATGTTAGCAGTATATTCAAGAGAAGTATTTGACCTTCAAAGTGATACCAACTGCATTGGTGCATGTACTCGAATAGGTTAGTTATACGTAAATTATTTGTCTGTTTTTTATTCACTATAGAAGTCACAGGTATGGCCCGAATTTCACAAAATTAAACACATCACTTTTTTGAATATAATCGACCAATAGAAAAAATATCGCAAACGTTTGAACAGGTCTGGGATTTGCCCCGTAGAAATTTGAAGTAATAGAGTATCATATGAAGACAATACAAAAGACATTTAAATCATCCGATTTTCTATAGATAGAACTTGTGTACCTGTCGTAGGTATTTCTTATCAATCGCTTCTTATTTCTTATCATAATTGTGTGTGCTGTCAATATGGTGACTCTAATCAGCAACTATGTATAATAGTATATTACTTCCTCACTCAAAAAAAAAGTAATTATATTTCAATAATAGATAAAAATATTACAACAATGTGGATAAGAATAAAGTAGCTGAACAATATAACACCGATAACAGCCAATACACATCTGGCTTATAGTCAATATGTATTGAAAATGCGAACACTTAAAAAATCACAACAAATGACAGTTAAATAGCCATAAAAATGACAGATAAGTTTAGAAAACAAAAGTCCAGTTGCAAAACAAAACAAAAAACTAAAAAGAAATCACGTGCCAACAGTTATGATAAGTAACTGTCAGCTGCTATCAATCACTATAAACCAGCATGATGAACTAAGCCCTAAAATAAATAAATAAAATATTTATCGATTTATTAATGCATAATAATATTTTATTGTCGAGGGAATATCATAAAAAACAATTATTGAGTGATAAATAAAATCAAGATTTATTCCTTAATACCCAAAATGCCCGTGGTTGTCAAATCATCCAGAGGTAAATGTTTGATCACCTTGATAAAATCAGGCACTGAGCAGGCATAGGAATAGCCCTTGATCAAATCGTCCTTTTTCCAATTGATCCAATCGATTTTGTGGCCAATATCTTCGCAGATGACATATTCCTCCTTAATTTGTTCCAAGGAAGCATGGGGATTGTTGACACCAATCAGGACAATACCTTTGCGTGTCGCTCGATCGATGACCACACGGAAATAGATTTTGGGCACAGGAATCAAACCATTGTTATTTTCATCAAAAGCCAAATACAATTCCTGCTGCTGGCCATTTACATCTGCCAAGGTGGCAACTCCCCAAATGCCTGTATAACAATCAACTGTCATCTGCTGATCGACCACGAATTTCCTTACACCATCCTCAACACGTTCCCAATTACCGGCATTAAATGCCTGCCACTGGGGAGCAGCATTGACAAAGTAGAAGGTAGCCCTCTGGGGTGAACCAAAAATGAAATCCACCTTGGCAGCCATATGACCTCGGGCCAAATAAATATTGGTACCCTCAAAGTACGGAGAAGCATCCATACCCAAAATTTCGCTAATGGTTTTATTCTGTTGGACCTGGGTATACAACTGATCGACATTTTTGCCAGCATAAAAATCACCTGGCTTAAAACTTGGACGACTAACCGATCTCTGATAGCCATTACTTGAGGGTGTCAAAACGTGGTGTACGTAACGGGTCACTTCATTTACCTCATCATGACAAACATCCATGGTCTTCATAAAACCATCACTGACATCAAAACCAATTTCCAAAAGATCGGTACCACCATTGCAGCTGCGTCCAGTTCTGCGTGCCGTATAGACAGGCCAGGCACTGCAGCTAAAGTCACTGAAATTATATCTTTGACCTTCCACCAGGTATGTGAATTCACCTAGGCACTTGGCTGTTATTTTGACTTGGTTTACAAATGGAGCCGCAAATGACTTGGTACAGTACATATCCAATGATTCACCGGATTTTATTTCCATCACACCACTTGGATTGGGTTCTAACCACTGAAGACTGCCGAATTGGCTAAACAATGGAGCTGGGTCTTTTAAATCTCCGGTAACACGGAAAGTACAGTCCTCTCCTGTAATATCTTCATCCTCGTCGATACCCAAAATGCCCGTGGTTGCCAAATCATCCAGAGGTAAATGTTTGACCACCTTGACAAAATCTGGCACTGAACAGGCATAGGAATAGCCCTTGATCAAATCGTCCTTTTTCCAATTGATCCAATCGATTTTGTGGCCAATATCTTCGCAGATGACATATTCCTCCTTAATTTGTTCCAAAGAAGCATGGGGATTGTTGACACCAATCAACACAATACCCTTGCGTGTAGCACGATCGATGACCACACGGAAATAGATTTTGGGCACAGGAATCAAACCATTGTTATTTTCATCAAAAGCCAAATACAATTCCTGCTGCTGGCCATTTACATCCGCCAAGGTGGCAACTCCCCAAATGCCTGTATAACAATCCACTGTCATCTGTTGATCGACCACGAATTTCCTTACACCATCCTCAACACGTTCCCAGTTACCGGCATTAAATGCCTGCCATTGGGGAGCAGCATTGACAAAATAGAATGTGGCCCTCTGAGGAGAACCAAAAATGAAATCCACCTTGGCAGCCATATGACCCCGGGCCAAATAAATATTGGTACCCTCGAAGTACGGAGAAGCATCCATACCCAAAATTTCGCTAATGGTTTTATTCTGTTGGGCCTGGGTATACAACTGATCAACATTTTTGCCAGCATAAAAATCACCTGGTTTAAAACTTGGACGACTAACCGATCTCTGGTAGCCATTACTTGAGGGGGTCAAAACGTGGTGTACATAACGCGTGACTTCATTCACCTCATCATGACAAACATCCATGGTCTTCATAAAACCATCACTGACCTCAAAGCCAATTTCCAAAAGATCGGTACCACCATTGCAGCTGCGTCCAGTTCTGCGTGCCGTATAGACAGGCCAGGCACTGCAGCTAAAGTCACTGAAATTATATCTTTGACCTTCCACCAAGTACGTAAAGTCACCCTGACATTGGGCTGTCAGTTTCACTCGATTGACAAAGGGAGCCACAAATGATTTGGTACAGTACATATCCAAATATTCACCGGATTTTAATTCCACCACACCACTTTGATTGGGTTCTAACCACTGCAAACTGCCGAATTTACTAAACAATGGAGCTGGATCTTTTAAATCTCCGGTAACACGAAACGAACAGCCATTATCTAATGTATCGGGTTCTTCATTTATTCCCAAAATGCCCGAAGTTTCCAAATCTTCTAAAGGCAAATCTTTCACAACCTTAATGAAATCTGGCACCGAGCAAGCATAGGAATATCCCTTATATAAATCTTCCTTGGCCCATTGTAACCAATCGATTTTATGACCAATATCTTCACAGATGACATACCCCTCCATAATTTGTTCCAACGAGGCATGAGGATTATTGACACCAATCAGGACAATACCCTTACGAGTCAGGCGATCAATCACCACTCGGAAATAGATTTTGGGTACCGGGATCAAGCCATTATTATTTTCATCAAAGGCCAAATATAACTCCTTTTGGGTTCCATTGACATCAGGCAGGGTCGACACACCCCAAATGCCAGTATAACAATCCACAGTCAGATTCTGCTTGGCCACATATTTCCTTACACCATCCTCAACCCTTTCCCAATTGCCACCATTAAAGGACTGCCATTGTGGTCCAACATTCACAAAGAAAAATGTGGCCCTTTGTGGAGCTCCGAATATAAAATCGGTCTTAGCAGCCATATGTCCACGGGCCATATAAATATCGATGGTATCATTGAAGTAAATCGAAGCATCCATACCCAAAATCTTGCTCACGGTTATATTCTGTTGCACCTTGGTATAGAGATTATCAACATTTTTACCCTGGTAAAAATCTCCCTCAATAAAACGAGGACGAGCCACCGAACGCTGGTACATGGCACTGGATGGGTTTAGAACATGATGAACATATCGCGTAACTTCATTCACCTCATCATGGCATATGTCCATGGTTTGCAGGAAACCATCGCTAACCTCAAAACCCACCTCCAATAGATCTGTACCACCATTGCAATTGCGCCCAGTTCTACGTGCCGTATACACCGGCCAATCGGTACAGCTAAAGTCACTGAAATTGAATTTTTGACCACCAACCAAATATGTGAAGCCACTATGGCATTCCGCAGTGATCTTGGTGAAGTTTTCAAAAACACCCACAAATGATTCGGAGCAATACATATCCAAAGATTCACCAGATTTTAATTCGACTGTACCATTGGCGTTGGGAACAATCCATTGCAGAAGTCCCGCATGGCTAAACAATGGAGCAGGATCTTTTAAATCCCCTGAAACTCGGAAGCTACAGCCCGCCTTTTCTTCATTCTCCTCTATACCCAAAATGCCGGAAGTTTCCAAATCTTCTAAAGGCAAATCTTTCACCACCTTGATGAAATCAGGCACCGAGCAGGCATAGGAATATCCCTTGTATAAATCTTCCTTGGCCCATTGAATCCAATCGATTTTATGTCCAATATCCTCACAAATGATATATTCCTCCTTAATTTGTTCCAACGAGGCATGAGGATTGTTGACACCAATCAGGACAATACCCTTGCGAGTCAGGCGATCATTTACCACTCGGAAATAGATTTTGGGTACCGGGATCAAACCATTGTTGTTTTCATCAAAGGCCAAATATAACTCCTTTTGGGTTCCATTGACATCAGGCAGGGTCGATACACCCCAAATGCCAGTATAACAATCCACAGTCAGATTTTGTTTGGCCACATATTTTCGAACTCCATCCTCCACTCTCTCCCAATTGCCACCATTAAAGGACTGCCATTGTGGTCCAACATTCACAAAGAAAAATGTGGCCCTTTGTGGAGCTCCGAATATAAAATCGGTCTTAGCAGCCATATGTCCACGGGCCATATAAATATCGATGGTATCATTGAAGTACATCGAAGCATCCATACCCAAAATCTTGCTCACTGTTATATTCTGTTGCACCTTGGTATAGAGATTATCAACATTTTTGCCCTGGTAAAAATCTCCCTCAATAAAACGAGGACGAGCCACCGAACGCTGGTACATGGCACTGGATGGGTTCAGAACATGATGAACATATCGCGTAACTTCATTCACTTCATCATGACATATGTCCATGGTTTGCAGGAAACCATCGCTAACCTCAAAACCAACCTCCAATAGATCTGTGCCACCACTGCAGTTACGTCCAGTTCTACGAGCCGTATACACTGGCCAATCGCTGCAGCTAAAATTGTTAAAGGGCCTGATGATACCATCGACCAAAAAATAAAGACCCTGCAAACATTGCGCCGTAATTTTCGTTACATTTTCATATGGAGCCAGGAATGATTCCGAGCAATACATATCAATGTATTGGCCATTTTGAATTTCCACAACACCTTCCGGATTCGGTACAAGCCATTCCAATTCACCACTCTTGGTGAATAATGGAGCCGGATCATTTAAATCTCCCGTTACACGAAATGCACAATCACCTCGGACAATTACTCCCCCTGTTTCGGGGCCCTCTGTTACAGGTGGTCTGGATGTTGTTGGAGGATATGTAGTGGTGTCATTGTTATTTGATTCCGGACCCTCAGAGGTCCACGGACCCTCAGTTGTCCAAGGACCCTCAGTGGTCCACGGTCCCTCTGTTGTTGTTGAGGTATAAACCGGTAGCGTAACTGGCTTCCACACCTCCGGACCCTCAGACGTCAATCCATTTCCCAAATTTTCCCTTTCATTTGGATGCGAATAAATTATACCCGCCCTTACTACCGCACTCACGCATAGTAGACAAGCTACTACGTTAATTGTTACGTTCCTCATTGCGTCGCGAAATTTGACGTAACGCTTTACGTCGTCTTCAGTGGCCAAAAGTTGGCACTAAACTAATCGCCACAAATGACCATAACATTTATTATAACCAAGTTTGCAAATATTTTCGTTTATTTTAATCTAGAAAATAAAAAAAATATTTTTAGATTTGAAATCATATCGTTGCGGAATGATTTAGAGCATCCTGATTAGATCGGCCAGCTAGCTGTCTTTGGAGGCATATATGCGGGTTTCTGTTCTTGTTGTTCCCCTGGCGCGTAATTTGTGTCACAATTTGTTGCGATAATAAGTCGGTTACTTACAATGTCAGCGGTATAAAATATTAGCGATATGATAAGTTGCGCCGGCGATCGCTAGTTATATTTTGGGGTAATTTGATGGGAGAGCAAATAAATAACAGCATAATAAATGACGTATATACACCTGTTATTTTTGGAGCTCCATATAAATGTATTTTTTTATAAATGTGCGACCACAATATCCAGGGCTTTAATGATGTCAGTTGTGAAATATATGGCTAAACGGAATGTGGGTGTGGCTTTAATGATTCCATTAATATTTATATGACCCACTGACATATGACTGTTACGACAGAATTTATTTTTGAAACTAGGCCAAAGAAGATATTCTTGCTTATTAATTTACTGGCCACAATACCAGGTATTTAATAATTATGGCGATTGGGAGCAGCTTTAGGGTGGTGTAAGGAAATATATCGCTAAGCTGAATCTATATACTGGCATTTGGGTGATGTGTTGACTTTCCCGGATGTCAATGGAACCAGGTAGAGCTATATTTGGCTCTTCATTCGGGTAGGAATTGATCGCCTGACTTGTAAAGGTATTGTCCTGAATAATGCCAATAACTCCCATGCATTTTTTGGAACAAATTAAAAAGGAGTATGTCATCTGTGAGGTTATTAGTCATTAAATCGATTCATGGACCAAGGATGATTTATACAAGGGATATTCATATGCCTGTTTGGTGCCTGATTTTATAAAGGTTGTGAATGATTTGCTTTTAAAAGATTTAGAAACTTCCGGCAATTTAGGTGTATAAAAAAATGATGTAGAGACTTCTAATGTATTGTCTCCAATGACCAATGGTACAGTTAAATTAAAATCTGATCAATCACTTAGATATGTATTGCTCCGAATCATTTGTGAGTGTTTTTGAAAACTTCACCAAGATCACTGCGAAATGCCATAATGGCTTCACATATTTAGTTGGTGGACAATTGACCTGTATATATATCACGAAAAACTGGGAGCAACTGCAGTTTTTTGGCACAGGTCTATTAGACGTTGGCTTTAAGGTCAATGATGGCTTCTTGCAAACCATGGATATCTGTCATGATGAAGTCAGTGAAGTTACCATTTATGTCCGACATGTCCTGAACCAATATTCATGGTCTTCTAGAAGCCAGTGTATCAACATTCTGTGTCCCGTCCCTGTTTTATTGAAAGTGATTTTTACCCGGGAAAAAATTTATATAATCTCTATATCAAGGTGCAACAGAATATAACCGTGAGCATAATTTTTGGTAAGAAAACTTCGAGGTACATTAATAATTCCATTGATATTTATATATATATATATGGCTGCTAAGACTGATTTCAGGACTTTAATGGTGGCAATTGGGAGAGAGTGGAGGATGGATTTAGGAAATATGTGGCCAAGCAGAATCTGACTGTTATACTGGCATTTGGGGTGTGTCTACCCTGCCTAATGTCAATGGAACCCAAAAAGATTTATATTTGGCTTTATCTAAAAATAATAACTTCTTGATCCCGGTACCCAAAATCTACTTCCAAGTGGTAATTGATCGCCTGACTCACAAAGTTATTGTTCGAATTGGTGTCAAAAATAATAACTTCTTGATCCCGGTACCCTCTACTCCAAGTGGTAATTGATCGCCTGACTCGCAAAGTTATTGTTCGAATTGGTGTCAACAATCCTCATGCTTCGCTGAAACAAATTATCAAGGAATATGTCATCTGTGAGGATATTGGCCATAAAATCGATTGGATACAATGGAACAAGGAAGATTTATATAAGGGATATTCCAATGCCTGATCGCTATCAGATTTTATCAAGGTTTTTTACCCTTAAATTATTTGGAAACTTCAGGCATCTTGGGAATAGATGAAGAATCCAATACATTTTAAAACCTAATATATTCGTGTCACTAGAGACCTAAAAGATGGTTACAACCCAATCAACGTGGTGTGCTGGAATCAACATCCGGTGAAGCGTTGGATATGTACTGTACAAAATCATTTGTCAAAATAACAGCAAAGTGCCTAGGTGGATTCACATACCTGGTAAAAGGTCAAAGATATAATTTTAGCGTCTTGAGATGTATGACCTGGCCTGTCTATATGAACCTGGCCTGTCTATATGGTGATATCGATCTTTTGGAAATTGGCTTTGTGGTCAGTGATGATTTGTCATGATGAGGTAAATTATGTTACCCGATATGTACATCACGTTTTGAACCCCTCAAGTAATGGCTACCAGAGATCGATTATTCGTCCATGTTTTAAACCAGGTGACTTTTATGCTGGTAAAAATGTTGATCAATTGTATACCCAGGTCCAACAGAATAAAACCATAAGCGAAATTCTGGTTATGGATGCTTCGCTGTATTTCGAGTGTATCAATATTTATTTGGCGCGTGGTGATATGGCTGCCTGGGTGGACTTCAGTATTGCTTAACCCCAGAGGGCCACCTTAAAATTTTTATTAATGCAGCTCCCCAATGGCAGGCCTTTAATGCTGGTAACTGGGAACGTGTGGAGGATGGTGTTAGGAAATTCCATCAGCAGCTGACAGAGAATTTTTATACAGGCATTACCACAGTTACCACCTCGGCGGATGTAAATGGTCAACAGCAGGAATTGTATTTGGCCTTTGATGAAAATAATGATATGATCCATGTACCCAATATCTACTTCCGTGTGATTGATCGTGCTACACGTTAGTGTATTGGGCTGATTGGTGTGAACAATCCTCATGCTTCACTGGAACAAATAATGTCGGAATATGTCATTTGCGAAGATATTGGTCACAAGATCAAAGAGATCAATTAGAAAAAGGACGAATTATTAACGGATATTCCTATGCCTGTTCAGTGCCTGATTTTATCAAGGTTGTGAAACATTTACCTTTGGAGAATTTGGGTAGGATTAGGTATTTGGGGTATTGACGAAGATGAAGATATTACAGGAGAGAATTGTACTTTTCGTGTCACCGGAGATTTGTAAGATCCACCTCCAATGTTTAGCACAATTCGGCAGTCTTCAGTGGTTAGAACCTAATCCAAGTGGTGTGGCAGAATTAAAATCTTGTGAATCGTTGGATATGTACTGTACAAAATCATTTGTGGGTACCTTTGTTAATGAAGTGAAAGTGACAGCCCAATGCCAGGGTGGCTTTACATTTTTGGTAGAATGTCAAAGATATACTTTCAGTGACTTTTGATGTAATTCCGCAAGCAGAACTGGTCGCACTTGCAATGGTGGTACAGATCTTTTAGAAATTGACTTTGAGGTCTGTGTTGGTTTTATGAAGACCATGGATGTTTGTCATGATTAGGTAAATAAAGTGAACCAATCTGTACACTATATTCTGAACAAAGTAATGGCTGATAGAGATCGGTTAATCGTTCATTGTTTAAACCCAGTGATTTTTATGCTGGTAAAAATGACGACTTTTCTCTATATGGCGTTAACGCCTTTAACAGTTCGTATTGATTTATAAAACAGGCCTCCAGTTGCAAAAGTTCCTTGTGGAAGAGATTTATAGGTATCAGAATTTTTAAATAACTGCTGGCATTTTATGAAAATCCTAATATTTTCATCCCGGCCCCTACAATTAATTTCCATGTTCATACATCACATTTCCAATTGTACTGTCCTGATTGGTTTCAATTAACTTGATGATCTTTGTAACAATTTATAAAGGAGTAAATATTGCGACCAGCTTGTTTTTTTCCGTTCCCTGGTGTAGAATTTATAATCTACGTCAAATATTCTAATCGGGTGATAAAACTACAAAGAGTTTTTTTTCAATTTTTGAAAATAGTCATTAATTTTCAATTGTAGCCCTTATCAAAATAAATTTTAGAAATTCCCAGCTGATAAAAACACTCATTTAATGCTCTATGTCAAATAAAATCTTTACCATCTGGTAAAAAATATAAACAAAACTTCGGGGTATTAGACAATCTAGAGGCAGTCGTGAATTTATACTAAACCAGCTTCGGACAAATTTGTTGGACTTTGGACTTGTTAGACATAAATTACTCTCATAGAAAACACCTGTGTGGTTATTAGCCTGATGCTGTATTAAATGGCTATAAAAATTATATTTGAGCTTTATTCAGAAATTTTAAAAATTTTTTAATTCACTATTTAATCGACCGATCAAGAATACAATATGGTTATCTCCAGCAAATTTCTCTATAAGTGATAGAAATATATATATATATATATATATAGCAGACTGTGAACAAAATCAAGTATAGACAATAATTTTTTTTTTTTTTTTGATTACATTGATTTTTCACATCAAACCCTAATTATCAACCAATAACCACCAAATAAGATATGTGTTGCCTTTTACCATAACCTCAGTAAGAAATCTCATGGCGATCGTCGCATAACTGTGAACTGTATAAGTGGCAAACGCACACATACTTGAATCCAATCGTCAAGATACGATAACCGTTATACTTAACGGTATGACCATTATAAATAACAATTGATGGCATACTTTTAGGCGTTATATTGTAATTACACTTTTAAACCGAATTGGCCATAATTCTATATTTTGGTTTCTCATCGAAAGACACAATTATAACCAGTAAGGAAATCAGTAAAGTCGGACTGGGCCGACAATATGATACCCCTCAACTTGATACGTTGTGCAAAAAATCGTGTTAATCGGACAAACATTAGAAGGTTGGTGCATCATTTATGTAAAATCGG